CCTCCTCATCACTGCTGCCAGCCCCCACAATCTCTGAAGGTAGCAGTCCACTCCCTGATGGTCCTGGCCCCTCATCAGAGTCATCGCTCTCCTTAGCCATCTGCACCTGCTGCCGGCTAACCACAACAGGTTCAGAACCATATCATGCTGCTCAGACAAGCCCATCCTACTCATGCTGGCAGAGGAGACCTGCTGAGGATCCTGTGGGTCAAGGAACTCCAACTATGGGATCCAGGGGAAGAGCCTTTCCTGCTGTAGTGCTGGTCCTCTGGAACATCGTCTCCCCCCCCCCCGAGTGAGATTCACCCCTACCCTTCTATCCTTTCGCGAGGGCCTAAAGTCCTGACTGCTTGCTAGTTGGCCTGGGGACCAAATGGGAGAGTACATCAATAAAGGTAGTTGGTGGACTTAAGTAAGGACCTCGCTGGCCCCCTGTACTTCCTGCTCCACCTCCCCCACTCATCTTTTTAACTTTGTATTGTTGTACTTCCATTGTTTACATTTATTATTTTATTCCTTTAATATTGTATTTTAATCACTATTTTACTGTTGTAAGTAACTTAGTATAGCCCCATGATGAGATGGGGGGCAAATTTAACAAATGAAATTAAGTATAATATATATATATGTATGTATGTATGTATGTATGTATGTATGTACAGATACAACCATTATAATCATTCATTTAGTTGACAGTTTGGAGTTAAAACAGCACTGAAAAAAGTGACTTATGACTTATGGCAGGGGTGTCAAACGGGATTTCTTTAAGGGCTGGATCAGCATTGTACTCCTTCTCCATGGGCTGGCTGGGGAGGGGGTGAGATAAATGGGACAGACACCTTCTGCAGCACCCTGCAGGCCAAAATGGGGTACGGGGGGGGCCCGTCCATGCCCCGTTCTCGACCTTGACAGCCTCCAAGACCCTGCTAGGCAAAACGGGGCCCTGTTTTGGCTGCCAGAGGCACCACAGTCTGGTCCTTTGCTATTTCCAGGCTGGCCCTGCAGGCCAGATTTAAGCACCCCTGGTCTGTGGAGATTCTCAGTCATCCAGGTCACAGTTGTCCCCAAAGTACCTTTTTAAGAGGCAACTGAACGTTCTCATTTTTCTTTGAAGACGTTTCATTTCTCATCCAAGAAGCTTCTTCAGCACTCTGAATAAGACAGATGAATTTCACAATGAGCTGAAGAAGCTTTTTGGATGAGAAGCGAAACGTCTTCAAAGAAAAACCAGACAGTCCAGTTGCCTCTTGAAAAAGCACCTTTGGGATGGCTTGTTTTTCACACTTATAACTATTGCAGGATCCCCATGGTCATGTGATCAAAATGTTCGGCAACTGGTTCCTATTTGTGACAGTTACAGTGTACCGGGGTTGTGTGATCCCCTTTTACAACCTTCTGACAAGCAAAATCAATGTGGAAGCCAGATTCACTTAACAGCTGTGTTATTAACTTAATAACTGTAGTGTTTCACTTAACAAAAGTGGTAAAAAAGGTCGTAAAACGGGGCAAAACTCACTTAACAATGTCTTGTTTAGCAACATAAATTTTGGGCTCAATTGCAATAATAAATCAAGGATTACCTATATCAATAAAGGTGGCTTGAAATTCTGAGAATTGTAATCCTTACACATCTGGATGGCATCAAGTGCTTGGTGAATTAATAAAGTATATATTCAGGCCACATCCAAGGGTACTGATTGCTCTCTTGGGACTCGATAGTAAGGAGCAATAGAATTTGATGCCCTTCATTTTGTAGATTATAATTTGTAATTCTATTGACTGCTACCGATGGTTTTATTTAGCTGTTTGAATAGATAGGAGAGAGACACACCATTTCACTTAAGAATACATCTGATTTAGTATCACTCTCTGGGCACCTTCACTGACCAAGTAGGACAAAGATGGGTGGCAGAGTTAATATTGAAGAGGACCATGTCCGTTTCATCAGAATCCATAGATTCCTACAATCCCAAATAAGTTTGATTTATTTGTGCTGCTCTTCTCAAAGCAGTGATTCGGGGGAGAATACAAATTGCAACAACAGTTCTAAATGGTGGTCTAAATGGTGGTCTAAATGTCTAAGGTTAAGATAGTAATTCCAATCTGTATAAAAAAACAAATTTAATCTATAGTGTTCATGGTGCCTGGGAGAACAGCCAGGTCCTCAGAGAATTACAAAGGTTAAATTCTTCATGGTGGCCCAGCTAAGAATCTTCCAGTTATCAGGGTTTTTTTTTAGGGAACTGAATAACTGTAAACAATGCTGTTGGGTGGTTTTCCCTGGTTGAAATAAGAGCAGAGAAGTAGCTTGTTTTACTTCTCTTAGCATCACAGCATAGGCCGAACAGTCATGTCTGTGTTGGATCACATTCATTCTTCATCTTATGCCAAGGTTGTTTTGGAAGTTTCTTCTGTCATGTTCCAATGGCTCCTCCACTCCCATTCCCAAAGGTGATTTTTCAAGAGACAACTGGACTTTCTTATTTTTCTTTGAAGACGTTTTGCTTCTCATCCAAAAAGCTTTTTCTCTTCTTCTGAAGCAAAACATCTTTCAAGAAAAACAAAAAACTCCAGTTGCCTCTTGAAAAAACACCCTTGGGACAACCATGACCTGGATCAGGGATCGCCAAGCTTTTGGACCTCAGGGACCACCAAACTCATAATTTTAAATCCCGCAGACCACTAATATGAATTTTGACTGACTATGGCTTGCTGACATTGGTGGGAAAGTCGGTCCCATACTCCAGAGCTGCAGTAGTCACAGGACTGGCCCTTTGGTCATCCCAGAGCATCTGCTCCTCCCACTGGGTGCACCGGCCTGCCATGGAGGAGCTGCTCCAGGAGGACCAAAGGGCCAGTCCTGTGACTACTGCAGCTCTAGAATATGGGACTGACTTTCCCACCAACGTCAGCAAGCCACCCTGGGGGTTGATCTCCCTCCCCTGCCATTCCTCTTACCTTCCAGTTCCAGCTCGCGTGGCTCTACTCAAGGTAAAGTTTACGCTCAGCTGAAGGGTGGAGGCCAGCAGGTGGGCAGGCTGTGTGGGCGGTGCAGCCTTGTGTTCTTGTGCAGCCTGGATTAATTGCTTTGCGGGGGTGCTTGGGGGAGGGACATTTCTCTGCGGACCACCAAAATTTTCTTGCCAACCACCAGTGGTCCCTGGCCCACCAGTTGGCGACCACTGACCTGGTGTGTCTCAGTATCTCCATAGACACCCATCCCCAGTCATGTGATCACATTTCAGGCACTTGAAAACTGGCCTGCATTTATGGCCATTTGCAGGGTCTTGCAGTCACGTTACTATATGTAAGTTTTTTACCGCTTTTACTTCCAATTTTTGGCAACAATATTCCATAGGGAACAATAAGTTCACTTAACTATTGTGAACTTTAACCATTGGTGCAACCCCCCCCCCCCCCCCCGATAAAATTGGGTGGGTCGTATGATGCTCTGATTTACGACTATCACAACTTATGATGTGCAGGTTCCATTCCACTCATATTGAGGACTCCCTGAAGGTCCTTCCTCTATAAGGGAGGCCCATGATGCTTGTTAATTCTGTGTTAACTAGTGAGTAATCATGGTAAGGGACTGGTGGAAATGTCCTGCATTCAGATCATGTTTAATTTGAGTTAATTAAAGTTTTAATGGTTAAGATGTTGAGCTTGTTGACCAGAAAGTTGGCAGCTCAAGACCCAAGCACTATTTTTTTGTTGCTCCCTTCGGAGAGGAGGTTTTGAAGTATTTCTAGCAGGACTTCCAGATTCTGTAACAGCTTTGTTTCCTGTGCCGTCCATCTGGTAAACTCACAAGATTCGTTTTTGTCACCATCTATACATCCAAACTAGACTGTGTTGTTTCTCTCTGTCATATAATATATGTGGTATATACATATTCATTCATTCGGCCGGCCAGCCAGCCAGTCATTTCATGTTTATGTAGTGTATATTGGAGATGATGACCCTTTGAGAGCTGTACGCAACAATGCATGTATGCCGATTTTAATGTATGCCGATTAGTGTACATTCAAAGTGACATTAAAGTTTATAGTGTAGAAATTAGCTTATTTGGTAAAGAATTAAAACAGGCCACCTCTTTGAATTAAATTCTGCTCAAGTTGAGGACCCTTTCTATGAACTTAGTACATCTTAGTACACTTTAGCATCATTAAGTATTGGTGGGAGAAAATTTTTATTTAAAGAGCAAATTACTCTGCTTTCAAAACAGAAATTGCTTTCCTTTGGAATAAACCAGAATTATAAGTTACATCTAGCATTGTCTTTATTCTCTACAAGTAGCTCTTGACCAATGACCATAACAGCACCTGCCAATCATGACTGTTGTAATATACATTGGTACATCTGCATCAAAGATACAATTTTACAACCATTTTTACAACAGTAGTTAATGAATGTTGAAGTTGTAAGCTGTGGTCATTAAGCAAACTTGGTGGTTGTTAAGTGGACCATAGCATTCCTGTAGGCACACTTTTGCCAATAACTGGATGTAAATGCCATGTTTGACAAAACTCAGCCTAACCTATAGGGCTGTTATTGTAGGGAAAATATGATGAGGAAGATGTGTTGGATATGTTTGCTTCCCTTTTTTGTAAAAAAGGTGAGATATAAATCAACAAAACTCGTAAGATGTGTTCACATGACTGCAGCACATTGGAAGTAGCCATAAATATGGCTCAGTTGAAAGCACCCAAAGTCCGGTCACGTGACTGCGGGGAGGGACAACCATTGTGACTTCAAATCTGGATCCTAAGTAGCTCCCAGGTAGTTCTAACTGGTTGTAAGTTGAGGACTACCAATAATTTATTTTAATATACAAATGGGAGTTTCTCACTTTCTGAAAAATGAAATCACTCTCATTTTAGTCTGCATTATTGCTGAGATCCTCAGGTATATTTGGGGTAAAATAGAATGACATTGACTTAAATGATTAAATTTTTCCACTGTTTTGAAGTACTGACTATCTCTTTTCTTTTTTCTAGTGAATTGGATGATGACTTACTAGGAGAAGATTTGTTGATTGGCAAAAAGGTAAAAATCAGCCTGTTTAAAATATATGCTTAAGACAGTTGTTAGTTTAAAAAATACCATATTTTTCAGACTGTAAGACGCACCTAGGTTTAGAGGAGGAAAAGAAGAAAAAAATAGTTTTTTGACTCCATGGGTCCTGTTTTTTCTCTCCTTGGCATCCAGAAGCACTCTGCAGGCCAAAAACTGGCCCATATTCACTCTGTAAAATGTAGAGACATTTCCACCACTTTTTTGGGAGGGAAAGAATGTGTCTTATAGTGCAAAAAAATGGCAATTTGATTACTTAAACCCACATCAATAGAGCTCCTTTTTTTTCTTTTTTAAAATATATCTTTATTGTTTACAACTGTAATATACAACGATGCTGCCATTTTGGCATCGCATATACCATACATACAAAGATATTGCTAAACCATTAACTTTCATATTATTAATACTGTATTTGCTTTTTAGTTCTATTCATTCTGTCTATTTTTCCCTCCAACCTTCCCTTCTTTTTTTTTTATAAGAACAAATTTTATTGAGTTTTGAAGACAAACAAAACATAAAACATAAAAGTATAAAACCTCCTTTCTAAGAATTACTTATAAATTTTAACAAGGCAAATAAAGCATTATTTTTTAAAACATAGTTCCACATTATCACATTTCCATTTACACATATATATCTTTTCCAAATTTCTCATTATTTCTCCCTTCACTTTTGTTCAATTATATTTCTTTCTATCAAAGTTTTAGTAATTCTCAATCAGTCATAAGCACACAAAATACATAACATAAAACAAGACGTAAAAAAATAAAACCTCCTTAATTGTCATTTATACATGTCTTTTCCAAATTTCTCTCCCTTTAATTTCATTCCTCCAAGGTTTTATTAATTCGCAATCAAACATAACTAATCAAAACACAAAACATAAAACTTCTTTTGAAAAGTGGCTTAGCCCCAGGTTACATCTTTTTTAACAGACCTAAATCAAATTTATGCTCACCTTATATACCATTCATATCTTATTAACCATTTTATATTTTCTATATAACTTCTCCCATCTTTTCACTCTCTTAATTATGTTTTATTTATTTCATCTTATTTCAAAATCATTATGCTTATATCTTTTGTCCGTTCTTTTCCAATCATCTATTTATCTCTTCTCTTTAACAAAAAATTTCTCCTGTAATCACTTTAAAAGTGTGACGCCTTCCCCTAAAGTAAAACTTAAAATAATACATAATTTCCATCCTGATTCTGCATAGTACATTCTACATATTAGATCTTAAAATAAAAGAATAATAAACTTATAGCATAGTTAAATATATAATTTCCATTCTAGTTCTAATTCTGATTAGTACATTATTTTAGAATAAGAAAATAAAATACTAAGTTTATAATAACATTAAGACTATAACGAATTAAACTATAACTAAACATTAATCATTTTACACATTCTCCTTAATATTTTATTAAATATTGAAATCTATCATT